TTTATATACCACGCCCCCTTCGCCCTCAATTTGCAAAAAACGCATTTCAAGTACTAGAGACTTGTGCTTTGGAATGAGCACACATTTTAACTATATGATTACGCTCTGAAAGTTTCAATAAGATTGTATGTCTATAAAAAAAATTATTCAAGAAATAAATTCTCATAATATTCCTCACATTGCAGCGCAGCCCAAGCGCAGCCGCTGCTAACTGCGCAGTCAGCAGAGCGCGTGCTTATAAGTGCATGTATATGCATAAAAGAWGTCCAGAATGATTAGAATATTAGCTTGGAGGGTTCAGGGTATCTCCTAGTCGAGCAGTCTCGACTGGAGCCTTCTTACTTGTTTAGTTTACTTTAAAGCTACAGCCCGTATGTATGATATATGAAAAACCTTGCATATTTATATACATAAATATTCCTCACAGTGCTTCAGTCTTAGATGATTCTGTCCAACATATGCAATATTATTGCGGCCTTGGCATCTCCCACGTTGCCTTCGAGATATTTTAGTAAGTCAAAGGTCTTCAAGTGAAGTTAACTTACAGTTCTCTTCGAATTCATTATTTTCATTATCAAAAAGCAAATCTGATTGAATATTAGTGTTATCGATAACTGCAATATAGTTATCGGTAGTAAGATCACCCCATACAAAGTAAACAGCTTGATTAATTATTTTTAATATTTTTCTATATTTATTTAAAAACAATAAAAAAAATTGTTAATAATACGATAACTTGGCTTACAAAATAACTTAAATATCTAGCTCTCTCTCTCTCTCTCTGCGACTCTGTCTCTTTGTACAACTATAGGCTAGCATTATCTATAATGCCAGGTGGTCTCTGTCCTCAGTGGTCCATGTTGGTGGCTAACGCTGCACCACAGCGATCCACGCCGAAGTTCTGACGCATGCGCTCCAGGGCGACTCGACTGAAGCCGCGCGCCATGAGCTGCGCCTCCGCCTGGGCGATCACGTCGCGCATGTAGTCCAGTGCGCCCGCGCTCTCCGTCAGCTGGCTGCAGACGAACTTGTGGCGGAAGCGCAGTTTGGCCTTCTTGATCTTGTTGTTGTAGCGCGACTTGCGACAGGACTCTGCCCGCTGACGCTGTGCATCACGGCTGTTGCCACCAGTCGAGGTCTGGCTCTGCGTCTTCGTCTGCATGGGATGGACCTGTGTGGCCTGCGGCTTGGTGGTTGGTGGTGCACGTCGCTCCACCACAATGGGATTCTCGATGAGCATTTGGTCCACGTAGCGCTGCTCCTCGTCCGCATAGTGCGTCTTCAGGTGCTGCAACTCCACAGCGACCAGCTCATCGATCTGCTCCGGCTTGTGGCTGTGCAAGGCGGGCAGCTTGCTCGGATGCACGCCGATGCCGTGGAGTGGGTAGTGGCCCAGCTGGGTGTAAAACTTGTGCAGATAAAGGTTGCTCTGATCCATAGTCTGTTTGCGCTTTCACTTATCGCCTTCGTCTATCGATCTGCTCGCCCCGAAATCAGTACTGCAATTGCTGTCCGTAATTTGCTTGCGCCTCGCTTTTATAGATGGCCAAGGCACGCACCACGCACCACGAACCCGACCCTGCCCAACCCGCGCAGGTCAAGTCCCATTATGAATCAACTAGCGACCATTTTATGATCTCCATTGTGCGGCGACCACATGCAACGCCTACCTGGCCCACTACCTGCCCTACCCGGCTAACCCTACCAGACCGAGTCACGTAAACAAACGGATTAGCGTGCGACTTGTTTGGGTTTTAACTGACCCATCAGCATCGGTCTGACCTGCCCACTTCTGTTTCCGATTTAGCCATTGAATGATTCGATATGTGTTTATATATATGTATGTATATATGTATATATATGTATTATATAAGCTGGCACACCTGAAAGTGAATAGAGTCACCATATCCATATCATCCGTGTCCTATGCTGATGTAGAAAACCAAAAGTCTCTCAGGCATTCAGACTAAATTATAAATATTCTAAGAGTA